ACAGAAGCAGAAGACATCAAGAAGAGGTGGCAAGAATACACAGAGGAACTATACCAGAAAGAAATTGATGTCTCATATACCCCAGGTAGTGTGGTGGCTGACCTTGAGCCAGACATCCTGGAAAGTGAAGTCAAATGGGCCTTAGAAAGCATCGCTAATAACAAGGCCAGTGGAAGTGATGATATTCCAGCTGAATTATTTAAAATTTTAAAAGATGATGCTGTTAAGGTGCTACACTCAATATGCCAGCAAATTTGGAAAACTCAGCAGTGGCCAGAGGATTGGAGAAGATCAGTCTACATCCCAATCCCAAAGAAGGGAAGTGCCAAAGAATGCTCCAACTACCGCACAATTGCACTCATTTCACACGCTAGCAAGGTTATGCTTAAAATTCTACAAGGCAGGCTTAAGCAATATGTGGACCGAGAACTCCCAGAAGTGCAAGCTGGATTTAGAAGAGGCAGAGGAACCAGAGACCAAATTGCAAACATGCGCTGGATTATGGAGAAATCTAGAGAGTTCCAGAAAGACATCTACTTCTGCTTCATTGACTATGCAAAAGCCTTTGACTGTGTCGACCACAGCAAACTATGGCAAGTTCTTAAAGAAATGGGAGTGCCTGATCACCTCATCTGTCTCCTGAGAAATCTCTATGTGGGACAAGAAGCTACAGTTAGAACTGGATATGGAACAACTGATTGGTTCAAAATTGGGAAAGGAGTACGACAAGGCTGTATATTGTCCCCCTGCTTATTTAACTTATATGCAGAATTCATCATGCGAAAGGCTGGGCTGGATGAATCCCAAGCTGGAATTAAGATTGCCGGAAGAAATATCAACAACCTCAGATATGCAGATGACACAACCTTGATGGCAGAAAGTGAGGAGGAATTAAAGAACCTTTTAATGAGGGTGAAAGAGGAGAGTGCAAAATATGGTCTGAAGCTCAACATCAAAAAAAACGAAGATCATGGCCACTGGTCCCATCACCTCCTGGCAAATAGAAGGGGAAGAAATGGAGGCAGTGAGAGATTTTATGTTCTTGGGCTCCATGATCACTGCAGATGGTGACAGCAGTCACGAAATTAAAAGACGCCTGCTCCTTGGGAGAAAGGCGATGGCAAATCTAGACAACATCTTAAAAAGTAGAGACATCACCTTGCCAACAAAGGTCCGTATAGTTAAAGCCATGGTTTTCCCAGTAGTGATGTATGGAAGTGAGAGCTGGACCATAAAGAAGGCTGATCGCCGAAGAATTGATGCTTTTGAATTATGGTGCTGGAGGAGACTCTTGAGAGTCCCATGGACTGCAAGAAGATCAAACGCATCCATTCTTAAGGAAATCAGCCCTGAGTGCTCACTGGAAGGACAGATCCTGAAGCTGAGGCTCCAGTACTTTGGCCACCTCATGAGAAGAGAAGACTCCCTGGAAAAGACCCTGATGTTGGGAAAGATGGAGGGCACAAGGAGAAGGGGGACGACAGAGGATGAGATGGTTGGATAGTGTTCTCGAAGCTACAAACATGAGCCTGACCAAACTGCGGGAGGCGGTGGAAGACAGGAGTGCCTGGCGTGCTCTGGTCCATGGGGTCACGAAGAGTCGGACACGACTAAACGACTAAACAACAACAACCAGCAGCGAAATCTGTCCTCCGATTTCTCAGCTTTTAAAATTCCACTGCAAAAAACCAACTTCCATTTCCCTGCCTCTTTCACAGGGCACTTTAGAATTCCTTTAGGATTTTGGCGAGTGTTGGGTTGGGCCTATTTTATTCTTGTGAAGTGACTGTGGGTTATGTGTCTGTTTTTCTCCCCCCACCCCATGGATTGATCATATTTGGGCTTTACTGAGACATACAACATTTTGTGGCATCTATACAGTTCAGTTGAAAAGATCAGTTGACCCCAATACATCTGTACATGTGCATACCTGCTGTCATCATCTGATTGGCAGGTAGGGCTGAATGGAGACTTAATTCAGCAGGATTCCTCCCTCTAATAAGGTGTTGGCACCATCTTGTTGGCCAGAGTTATGTTCACAGGGCAGGCTCACATGGGACTTTTTCTATTCATGGAACATTTTTCTGAGCCCTCTGCAGCCTCCCTGGCTGCCAGGGCTTCCTAATCTGAATAAACCCCATGGGAGAAGTTACTTAATGATGTCTTCCCCCGAGCTTTGTTTGAAGCCTGGGAGGCCTTCCCCAAGCACCAGAGATCAGTGCAGTCACTGAGTTTATTTTTAATGGAAGTCCAGACCACTCGAGCATACAAACCACTGGTCATTGGGTCTTACAAAGCCCCTTGCTAAGAGCTGTTCATCGAGTATATGTTGTTACACCCACTATGTATTCCCAGTGGACCAAATTATATGTGTAAGCAGCCTTCAAACAATATATATATAAAAGTGCAGCAGGGTTAAACTTTTTTTGTGAGGGATGTGGTGGAATACAATGACAACAAAGCAGTAATATCAATCAAATAGGGGATCTTGAAAATCAGCCCATGATTTAGCCCCCCTTTGTCCTGTCCTTTTGGGGGAAATAGTTTTATGCACCCCAGTTTGGAGGATACTTCAACTGTACACATGCAATCAGTAATATTATTTGCCTTTTTGCTTCCATGTAGCTCATGAGCTAAAGACATCCTGTAGTAACATCTCATTAACAGGTGCCTTATTAATATTGATGGTTTCTGCAGTTTAACTTTCTGTGGCAAGGTGGACCCCCACAGCTTTTCCTTTTCCTCTAAAAATAAAACCAAGTGTGCTGAATCTAGCTATGACTGCCTTAGTTGTTGGGTAATGCTCTCATTTAATGGCTTTATTTAGATCCATTTTCTGTATGCAAATCCTTAGGATTTGGCTTTGCAGCAGCCAGTTTAAAGCAGTGTTCATCCAGCCAGCTGCATTTATTCAAGATCTCTGCATGTCCTGCTTTTTCATCACCTCTCTTACAGGCCTGTGTGTGATGCAGACATTTTGATGGCCCTCTGTTGTTGTTTTTTGCATTCGCATGCTGGATTCTTACTTCATTAGTGATACAAACAGCATGTTCATAGCCCACCACACACTGTGCATGCCATCCAGCAATGAATGTCTGATATTCTCTGAAATCATAGTTGACGGCTGGAGTACAAGCCCTGAATTTGGGAAGCTGACATTTAATGTTGCGGTCTTAAAACTTATCAACAAAGACTTCAGGTTTTCCTTAAGATCTGTACTTCAAAAACAAAACTGGAACACTCTAAAATTTCAAAGTTGAATCCTGATTCTCTCCCCTAAATTTGAACTTGTGCAACATTTCAGCTTGTTGACCATACCGCCAGGTCCCAGTGTCATCATGGACAAACAAATCAATGCCCATCATTGCCCTGTTCATCTGCATGGAGTCTTGTCTCCAGTTTCTTTAAATGAATCTCCAGGTGAGTGGGCTTGGAAAAGTAGGGACCAAGTATAGAAGTGTCTATTTTTGAAAGTGATATTCTTCAAATTTACTGACAAATGTCTAACCATCTAAGAAAATACAGGTGCTGAGGAATGAACAGGGTGATGGAGGATTTTCAGCTGCTTTCCAGTTTCTTCTTAGTAAGAACTGTTTGACAGTGGAATGGTCTCCCTTGGGAGGTTGTGGACTTGCCTTCCTTGGAGGTTTCTAAGCAGAGGTTGGATGGGCATCTGTCATGGATGCTTTAGCAGGGGGTTGGACAAGATTACCCTTGGGGTCCCTTCCAACTCTGCAATTCTATGATTCTTCAAGTTTAGAAATGCATATTCCTTTACATTTCCCAGTATTTTCTGCTTTTGTTTTTTCTGCTTTTGTCCCCCCCCCCACTTTTGTCTTCAGCTTAGATTAAATGTACCTGGAAAGAGTTCATTCTGCAGAAGAACTGGCTGCTCTCCAAGAGAGGTGGAGCAGCTCTACTCAGTAACCTGCTCAACTCAAGCAGCTTTGTTAGCAGTCTGCCTACGCTGTAGTTGACTCTTGGTGTGGGATTATTGGATGAAAGGAAAGGTGAGTGGAATCAGTCCCCTCCATCATCCAGTTCAATACCATCAATACCAGAAGTTGCCAGCCTGTGGCCCTCCAGACATTGTTGGAATACAACCCCCACTAGCCCCAGGTAGTGGTCAGCAACATGTGGAGGGTCAGAGGTTAGCAACCCCAGTTAGCAGTGGCTCTCTGGAGACTTTCAGACAGAAGCTTCATTCCCAGTACTACCTGCAATGGCTCGGGAGTGAAATGGGAGAGAGGGAAATGCTCTGCTGCTGAGCTATAGCCCTTTCCCATCTCTCTGGGTGTCTGCATGACTGCTTCTATTTACCTGGGTGAGCAGTGCCAGTGGGAAAGAGTCTGGTTTATGGGGAACATATACAGTTGATGTCAGGAGTGGGAGTCAGGAGCTAGCTGGCAATAAATCACACAGAGTCAGTGAAGCTAACCTCTTTATTCAAGGAAACATGCTCAGCTCAGGAGGCCAAGCCTAGTGAGCAGAGCAACTTGTCCTGGTAGATCTTGCCCCAATGAGGAAGTTGTGGAGACTGAAGATCCCTGCCTTCCCAACAGTTGCCTAAGTCTCCTCCTTTCCCAAGCAATCAGAGACTCTGCCGCTGTGCCTGTCCCTGCTCCTATCTCTTCATACCTCTTCTGGTTCTGGGAGACCAGGGGAGAGGGGAGCTGGTCACAGCAGGAGGGGGAGAACCCTCTGGCTTCTTCATCAGCCTGACTCATCTCTGCCTCTTGGTCCCCCTTTGCAGCCTCCGCTTCTGCCTCTGATTCTGGACTGCTGTCTAGCACATACTCTTCCTGCTCACTATACCCTGTTGCGTCTTCAGCTTCCGACACCTCCTCTGTCCAGTCTGCCCCCTCTTCTCCCCCTGACCAGTCATCGTCATCCCACCACCAATCCCCTAGCTCGGAGCCTTCTTCCCTGGGGATTCCCTTGGGGGGGGTGTTCCCCAGCTGGCACCTCCCACTGCTGCTTGGCATCTGGCCAGTTCATGACAGTTGAGCACGTCTCCCCGTAACCATTATGACAGCAGAAGGGTGATTCTGCATGTATCAAATACATCATTATACACTAAGGTCTCTATTCCCCACCCCGCTTGTCACCTGATGTGGTCCCTGTGGATACGCTAGAGCTCCCATTTGAACTCCAGAGTCCCATTGAGACTCTGGCAACAGTGTTTATGTGCTATTCTAATGCTGGTTTGAGCAGCCTAAGTGCTTTTTAATGCATAGCACTACAGCGAGTGTGCCTTATTCTTTCCCTTGTTGAATGGGTGTCTGGAGGAATGTAATTCCAGTCTCTTGCTTCAGCACATCATTATTTACAAGGCACAGGAACATGACCACACCAAGCATGGAGAGAGCCACTATCAAGCTGTAATTTGGCAACCGGCACGTGTGTGAGTGCAAGGAGCAGATCCATCCTCTTCAGGCTGGATGTATGCACGAGATGGGCTAATACTTTTCTTTATTTCTGTAGAGCAGCAGTGGGGAGCCTGTTTCAGCCCGAGGATCACATTGCCTTTTGAAAAACCTATTTCAGGCATCCTTCCAAATTCGTACGTATATCCGAATTATGCAGTGCAATGTTCTCCATGCAAACAACATGTACAAAGTTGCATATATTTTGGGAAAGTAAGCATAGAAATCGATGTATTATTGATGTATGATATGGTTGTATGAAATTAACATAGAAGTATGCATAGCATTGGGAGAAATTGCTTGTAAAAACGTTCACACCAGTCAAAACACAGTAAAAAACTGTGTTTATTAGGAGAAATTCACATTAAAATGCTGAATAATTTTCATGACAATAAAAATATTGCTGCAGAAATGTGGAGAACTGAATTTAAGGCTGGAAGAAATGTGAAACTGAGAGAACCAAAACTGCCAGGTGTTTCTAACCCTAGTCCGACTGCTGTTCCAAAAGGTGTAGATGCTGCAAGTCCCACCCACCCTGTCAAGCTGTTTCTCCCACATCTTCCCTTGCTTCCACCCATCATGAGCTCCTCCTATCTGCTGCATCTCAGCCACTTCCACGGAAGGCCCTCTTATTAGCCATGGTAGCTAAATGGAAATTCAGAGGTGGGCTACCTATGAATAAGCCTTGATTGTGAGGACAAACTAGAATGGAAGGCCATTCTTACCAGTGGGCAATGTCTGGCTGCTGTTGCAAAGGCAAGGCTGGTCATGGTTTGACCCAGCACAACCTTAGGTCCTGATGCAGCTTTCACCAACATGGCGCCCTCCAGATGAAGGGGCAGGGCACCCAATGTGCTGCCCTCCTGTTGTTGCTGATCCAACTCCCATCAGTCCCAGCCAGTACAGCCCAATGGTCAGGGAGGATGGGAGTCATAGAACCATAGAAGGGGCTCCAGGGGCCATCTAGTCCAACCCCCCTGCAATGCAGGAATCTCAGCTAAAGCATCCATGACAGGTGGCCATCCAACCTCTGCTTAAAAACCTCCAAGGAAGGAGAGACGACCACCCCTTGTGGGAGTCTGTTCAACTGTTGAAGAGCTCTTTGAAAGATTTTCCTGATGTTCAGTTAGAATCTCCTTTCTTGTAACTTGAAGCCACTGGTTCGAGTCCTACCCTCCAGAGCAGGAGAAAACAAGCTTGTTCCCTCTTCCATGTGGCAGCCCCTTAGATATTTAAAGATGGCTATCACATCTCCTCTTAGTCTCCTCTTTTCCAGGCTAAACATACCCAGCTCCTTGCAGTAGGCAGAGGTGGATTTAGGGGTAATACAACCAGTTTGGTTGTACAGGGCGTGGAGCTTTGGGGATGCCACAACTATGATGTAGAACGAAAGGCAAGCAGCGGGGTGGGCATCCTACAGGGACGCCACTGAAATTTGAGACCTACTGCAGTAGGTATCACTTGCAGGCTGTGCTTGCTGCAATTCTCTCTTCTGCACAATTATTGAAAATGTAGGGACTTCTGCATCTGGCTATCCTAATTGAAGGCACTTTCCCTGGTGTGGATGAATGAATGGTGGACAGGATTGCATGCTACCAACTGGGGATTGCTCCGCATGGCAAGGTGCTCATGTGAAATGTGTGGCTGCACCGGTGTGTACTGCACCAGGACAACAGGCTAGTTCCTTTGCCCATTATGCCTCAGTAACACCATGTTTCTTGTTACAGGAACACCCTCCCTCTCTGCTTGACTTGGGGGGGGGGATGCTCTATTGCTCCTAACCCCTACTCCATTGGAGGAGACACAACAGTATTATGGTGCCATCTCGTGGCCATAGCAAGTAGGGGCATTTAACAGCAATGCCGCTTGAGAGAGTCACATTAAAACTGTCTTCCATAACACTGGACGTGTCCGCCTGAAACTTTCGGCAGCTGCATCACAAAGGACACATTTCTGACTGATGAAGAGAAACCAAATCTGACAAAAGAGCGACAAGATCTGCTGGGGAACAATTGGTGAAACGTTCATGACAATGAAACAAGTTTAATGTTTTTGCAAAGGTGATGTCAATAGCCTGGCGACCTTGTCATCTGCCTGATTAATTGATGTCCTGTTGCTTTAATATTTGTATGCACAGATTTTGAAATGAAAAGATGGATGCATATTCCAGTAGAGAGGTGGGATGTTTGCACTTTAGAAGCCTCTACCTCATTACTGCCTTCTGTTGTTGTTTTTTTTTCTTTCATGCCATGGGGTTGCTGAAGGGGGATTACACTACATTAAATCACATGGCGCTTTACATTTTCAATCATCTATTTGCCCAGAAGCAGATAAAACAAATACAGTACAGTGCAGGATATCAGTTTCAGAACTCTGGGCTGGTTCATGAAATATAGCTCTCCAGCGCCACACCATGCTCGGGACAGCTTTTCTCTGCCCTTATCTCTGAGAATTCCTACTATTGTGGGGCTAGTCAGACTTGTGCAGATTTGGGATTATAGAGGTAAGGCAAATTTTAGCTTTGAGATTTATTTTTTTTAAAGTTTTGGATTGAAAAAATGGCTGCAGCTTTATTCAAATCTCAATGAAAAGGCATGTGGTTATGCAGAGTTCAGTCAAGCAGCAAATATCACATTATGTACCCACTCCTTATAAACAGGCCATCCTGCCTTCCAGACAGGAGCTGCCCATGTTTGCATATCTGTGTCTGCAGTGAGAGTCATAATGAAACGTACTGTGGCTGGTGGGAAATGGCCTCGGATGTTTTATGACTTCCCATTATTATACCAATAGACATCACCACCACTACAACAAGAATACAATGGTATTTTTTTTAAAAAAACCACACATTTATTTGATTCCCTGTCCCACTTATGGTTCAAAAGTACCACTCAAAGCACCTTTCAAAATTTAATTTTACAAATACAATTGAATTAAAGCATTACTTAACAGTCAACCAAGGAGACAGGATCAGTGGTTAAAAGCCAGCAAAAAACTGGAATTCAATTAGGTTTTATTCAGACCCACAGAAATATATAGTCTTAAACATGTTCATTAGTTTCAGTGGGTCTGTTCTAAATAAAACTAGCTGAATACCCCCCATTACCATAAAAGCCTAATAGAATAAAGTGGACATCCAATGAAAAACAATGAGGGAGGGAGTCAACCGTACTTTATGGGGCTAAGCGTTCCATAATCTGGGGGCAGCCACTAAGAAGCTCCCCCTCAACCATAGGAGCCAACTCCTAGGGGCCAAGGTTCCTTTGCCCTCCAATAAGATATTTCAGGGAGCCAAGGATCCGCAAAGTTGAAGGTCATTGCTATTCAATTATGTGGGGTGTGGCTTAACTGGGCCCCCCAATTTTTTTATACAAGTTAGCACCCCTGCCCTCCACCCATTCTAAATGTGTTTCTGCTCTAAGTGGGACTTCTTCTTATCTCAGGGAGTGGACAAATTATATGAAAGGAGGCAATATTCTGGATCTAAGTCATGTAAGGCTTTAATGCTCTGAATTGTGTGGCTATTGCAGGAGTAGTGTAACATGGCCCCATGCACCAACATCTATTCTGGACTGGCTGGAACTTCTGGAGAGTTTTCAAAAGTGTGTGTGCTGCAAAATCCAACATGGATGTAATGAAGGTATGCGTTACAATGGCCATGTCTAACCTCCTCCGGAATGGGCACAGTTGACAAAGGCATTCCTGGACACAGTGGCCACTGCAGACGTGCCAAGCCAAGTCCAGAAGCGATCCCACAGTGTGAACCTCTTTCTGTAAGGGGAGTAATATCGCTTCTAAAATAATGTTGTTCTAGAGTCAGTCCCCCCCTTCCTTATCAGGAGCAGCTCTTTCTTATCTGAAGCCTTCATTTGTTAGCCCACTACTACCTCCAAGCATTGCTCCAGAACATCAGCACCTTCCTTGGTATTAGAAAAACCAAGAGAGAGAGTTGTGTGCCATTTGCATGTTAGTGAAATGCACTTTAAATCCTTGGATGATCAATTTCAGTGGTTCCATGTAGATGTTTAATAACATGGGGGACAAGTTATTGCTGCGGACCAGCAGAAAGCTAATTGCCAAAGTGCTTGAGCACAAGTTCCCCAACACAACCTTGTGGAACTAATCTTCAAGGAAGGACCAGAAGCGTAGCAAAACCCTCCCTCCCAATTCCACCCCTGCCAAATAGTCTAGTTGGACAATAGCAGCTGCAATGTTTAATTGGTTAAATTTTAAACTTTTGATCAACTAAAAGGGGGCACCCAGTTAATTGGCTAGCAGGTTTTTAAAAATAATAATAATAATCAAAGTTTTAGAAACGGCAGACGGCAAACTTCATCATAAAGAGGTATAGGAATTTAATATAAATAAATAAATAAATTGCTGCAAGAGGCTTCAACTCTGAAATTATTGAACAAATATGCTCACTCAAATGAGGACTACTGGTCATGGTCACCAGCAAAAGCCAGTTGTCTCCCATTTAGATGTGTACTCTTTTCATATACAGTGGTACCTTGGGTTACATACGCTTCAGGCTACATACGCTTCAGGTTACAGACTCCACTAACCCAGAAATAGTGCTTCAAGTTAAGAACTTTGCTTCAGGATGAGAACAGAAATCGTGCTCCGGCGGCGCAGCAGAAGCAGGAGGCCCCATTAGCTAAAGTGGTGCTTCAGGTTAAGAACAGTTTCAGGTTAATTACGGACCTCCGGAACGAATTAAGTACTTAACCCGAGGTACCACTGTATCTTCTTTATTTTGCCTTGATAAATAAAGATATACTTCCATAAACATCCATGCATGTGTATTTATGTCACTCCAAGGTAGCTTGATGAAGGAGCCTGTTACCTATGAAAGATCATGCGGTGATTAAACCAGCAGATCTCTAAGATACCAAATACAGACCACACATGACATAATGCAGGGGTGGGGGACCTCAGGTCTAGTGGTTAAATGTGGCCCTCCAAGTCTCTCTGTGGCCCCCAGAACTCTTGCTAGGCAACGCCCCTTTCCAGGACAACACTGCTACATGCCATTATTGAGTGCTTTTGCCTGGCCTCTCAGATGTGTTCTTGAACTGTGATGATGCCTCTTGCATGCCTAGATGGAGAGAGGGCCATGCACAAACATGTTAAGTTTATACTGTAAGAGTCGCATCTATTACTCCATTCAGTTTTGCCACCTTTTCTTTTTAGCACAGACATGTGGCTCCTGGGATGTTCCCTACGAGAGAAAGTGGCCCTTGGGTTGGGATAAAAAAAGTTTCCTACCTCAGTTTTGATGTGATCACTTAGCTACAGGAAAGCTGAGTGATCAAAAATCCCACAGTTCTATAGCTGGCTGCAGTGAAATGAGCTGTGCCACGTCTAACTCAGAGCGCTGGTCTGTTTAAAAAATGGCAACGTGAAACCGAAGTATCGGGTCATGCATTTTGATAGGTACGATGGGTCAAGGGAGCAGTGCTCGCCCTACTCCTTCGCCACCCTGCATGCGCTCCAATGAAAAGGTGTCACTGAAGGGGTTTCATTAACTGCGCTGCATGCACTGGGATGTTACAGGATGGTAGCATGGGGGACTTGACGCTTCTGAAGAGCTGCTCAATTATTCATCCCTTATTTCTGCATATACGAAAGGTTAATCCACCTGGTGCTTCCCTACGCAGGGAAAGCAGCTCTTGGGAGGCCGTTTCACATTAAGTTCCCTCCTCACTCCCTCCTAGTGGTTTATCGAGCATTATCTGCCTTCTGTTTCTTCTGTTTGCAGTGGGTTGGGGGGAAGTTGCTCAGGAGGGACACTGTCTGGGAGGAGACCCACTACAGAGAAGAGAGAAAGTGGAGATCAACTTGTAAGGTTTTAGTGCCCCTAGCAACTGCTTCCCCTTTGTTGCCAAGGAGGTCCATTGTCCTAAGGATGTATGTGCTTGCCCTAAGTGTACCTGCATCCTATTTGCTTCATTCAGTGAGGATAAACAGCCCCTTGTAATTGAAAGATGAGGGGCTTTTAGTTCATCTCAAGATACCCATGTTAATTTGGGCTAGTTCCAGACTCAATGCTTTTTCCTTCTTCCCGAGGGGCATGAAAGGCTGGCAAATGTAATCATGACATCACAAGAGCTTTTTCACTTTCAGCCCAACCCAGATTATGCTAAAATGGATGACATGCTGCATCCTGGCTCTTGCTTTACAGGTTTCAGTTTACCTCCAGTGCAAGGTGTGCAGAAACAGAATAGAAGATTAGCTCATTCACAGGGTGTACAGGAATACAGGGAGAAGATTAGCTCAATCACAGCTCTGCAACACTGCTAAAATTCAGGCAACATAAACATTCCCTCTATTTCTGATGGTCCCTCTGCTCTATGATAACAGAATACTGAATGACTCCTGGAATGGGTTGGGATGAGTTGGGGAGAATGGAATGGTGTATCCTGGTCTAGCTGGCAGGAACACTGAACACCATCATTCCATGCTACAACATTTTCTTGCAGATCCCAATCATATAGCAAAATCATAATTTTTAAATGATTCCCTGTTCCCCACACAAAGAGATGTATAGAACTGTACGTATTTTACTTGTGTCCTCCTTGTAAACATGGGAGCTGGTGGTGAAATCTGGCAGGAACATACCAGTGTTGATAAGGAATTGTGGAAGTCCAGAAGGGAAAAAACAAAACAAAACCCTGCCACATCTATCACTGAGCTGAGTACTGCACTGACCTTAACTCTCAAACACGTCTTCTTTGAGCCCTGTTGTTCATTGTGAGCCCCAGAAGTCCTGCATTAAGAGCAAATCTTCAGACTTGAAAAGCTGTATTTATTTGTTTAATTTGGAAACTTTAACCCTGTTACATGGCTGAACAAAACCCTTCTCTGGAGAGCCTGAAGTCATTAAAAACTGTTCTCATTATTTCCTTTGACTATTATTAAATGGCACAAAACACTAAAAAGAGAATACAGAGTGACATTGATCAACAGAGATGAATAGCTTAAAAAAACAAGCAAAGTTACAATTGAGGTCAAAATTACAGCTAAAGGGCTCGGTTATTGCCAATAAACAGCAACAACCATGATGCTGATGTTTCACCATTTTTTTCTGACACTCAAGACAGAATGGGCCTTACAAACTGTTTTTGGGAGGGAATTCCACAATGAGGGCACCAGACTCACTGAATTGG